TCCTAAACTTGTCCTTCAGATGAGAACACATTCATGGAGCACCTCCTTGCACACATGAACGCATTGGAGAGCACATACCGGGAATCGGGAACACTTTAACATGGTAAAAAAACGCCTCCAGGTGTTCCATTACGTGCTCTCAGGAGTTCCCGGCGGGAAAAATTTTTTACAGTGTGGGCAGTTAACACGTGGCACACTTGTGCAGTTAATGCAGACTCCGCTATTTACCACATTTCATTTTTCCTCCCATGACTGGCTGGCTGCGCTCAACCGCAAATAAATGAAGGCCTCGCCTACAAGCCCTACAGGCATCATTCTCACCACTCTCAGTGATCCAGTTGGCTGTCTTCGAAGGTAAAATGGAATTCATCAGCGTAGTGAGTTCCACTTATTTATTGCCTCACAAGTTTCATCTACTCGAGAAGTCATGTCCTTTGCATTCCATGCCTAAAATTGGAGGTTTCCCGCCTCACGAGAGATCTTTTTCCTTTCATACAGTTCCTGGCATTGGCGTTGATGGTGCCCACGTTAGGAGATCCCCTCCCTGCCCTGGTCTGTCTTTCTGCATTCCATGGATGTAAACAGTCATAGGAAAGAAAGAGTGAAAATCTCACGACTCTATAATCCCGGTCAACCCCGGGAGAACATTTCTTTACGTAACCGTAAATAGCATCTGTCACGATTAGAGATGTAAAATTACGGGTAAGGGAGAGGCCATTACTTACCGGTAATTTGCAAGTAATTTACCGGTGATTACCGGTATTTTACCGATGTATTACCAGTAAGTTACCGGTGCTCCTAGAGTGCCATATGAAACAATTTTTTAAAGTCTCAAAATCCACTATTGCAACCCATGTATAGCTAAAGCAACATCCAACTTGTGAAATATTGGGAGAGGCAAGCTTTGGCAGAGAATTAGGAATGTAGATACCAAGAGAGCTAGGTGGATCTTTTTTTGTTTTTGGCATTCTAAGCGCCAAAACAAGTCAAATCTGGAAAATACTTAAAAAGTAGACGTCATATATGCTGGTAGGTTCCTGCCCTTCTCGACCTTCCTGCCATTAGTAACGTTTCCGTTACTAATGAGGGGCATTTCCACATTCGCCAAAACAAGTCAAATCTGGAAAATACTTAAAAAGTAGACGTCATATATGCTGGTAGGTTCCTGCCCTTCTCGACCTTCCTGCCATTAGTAACGTTTCCGTTACTAATGAGGGGCATTTCCACATGGCTCGAAAAAAAATAAAGAACCGAAAAAATTAGGACTGGTTGGGGAAGGACGCGATTAATATTGTTTGATATGTACTAATTATAACTAGTTATACAAATCGAGAATAAGCGTGCACAGACGCATGTTGTATGCTTAGACGTCCCTTTTCTCCTCGAATGGTCTCTGCTCGTTCGGTTAGTTTTAGCAGGACTAGGGTCAGAGACTGAGGAAAGGGCTATTTCGTGGAAATACAGTCTTAGTCGAAACAGTCTCATCTTTTCAAAGATAATTAAATGTTTTCTTTTCACAAGGTTGGATATAAAAGTAATGTTTATATTTTTTCCAAGTATGGCATCCACGACAAAAGCCTTTGCAGGGTAGATGTTCCCATAAAGAGAGGGGTCAGTAACGATAAACGTGAGATTGATACTGCATGAAAACAGGTGGCGAGAAAAAAGTCATCGGTCGTTACTTTTGATCCACATTCATACTTTCTTTCGTCCCAGAATATGAGTGATTTCTTAAAATACTAAAAAAAAAAGTTACGCTGGTAAATCACGTACGTTTCCTACCATCGACATAAAAAAAAAGAAATGGGACGAAAGCACGACACTGGCTTCGGTGCCAGTGCCGCCAATATATTTCTTGCGTATTTAAACCGAATAAACACAATCAATGCGTATTGGCCTCGGGTTAGAAAATCTCTGTAATAATTTTTTAGTAATTTCTCAGCATAACATGAAAAACATGCAGAAATGCTGCAAAGGTCATGATACTTTTGTTAGTGTGTTGTCGTAATTGACTCTGCCATGGAAAACTCTTTCCGGCAAAAAAAAAAATACAGCATGAAAAATACATAGTATGCATTTTTCTAGCGAAAAAGTGCTGGAAACCATGAAAACGAGATTCACTGGTAATTTACCGGTAATATTACCGGTAAGCAACACTGCGGTAATTACCGGTAAACCGGTAACGTTATGGTAATGTTACCACCACTCACAACTCTAGTCACGATCGCTAAGCAAGGTTAGAAGGGTTCATCTCAGAAAACTAACGCAACCAATTTGGCTAACACACCTAACCATATAACTGAACAATCAGGTAGATTTATGCTTAGTGATTATGCACAAGGGATTCCAAATTACAGCGCCTTAACTATGAAACTAACTTTAAGTACTAATATACTAACTATAGGATGCGGCCCTAATCTAGGCACAAGTTGAATGAAACATAGTGAATCAATGGCCTTTCTCAAGTTGAGCAATGGTAGTGCCGGCATTGGATGCTTTTGCATTTAACCAACACATGAAATAGGAATAATCGTATCAATACGCTGCTGATACCATCATGCAAACCAATATACTGTACATTGGAATGTGACAGGCGGGCAGATATTAAAGCCTTCCGACATCAATACACGCAACACGAATGCATGCTTTCAATGCAAATTATATGTTTTTGACTTCCCTGGTGGTAAAAATTTTGTATTTACACGCAAGTGCGGAATGGTTTCATTCTTGTTCGAAAAGACACGATAAGCGCTGAAATTGATTCCACGTGTGTTACTGTCGCAAATGTGCGATAGTATCATTCCGATCCTTACAATTCTGGATCCAGAGGGCTCTAAGTACAATATTTTATATGAACTCAGCTTATTCATGTGTTCAATTAAATGCCAAATGCAATAACCTTTCCAATTACCATTCCACTTTTACTTTGATTAACGTATTTATTGAAGGGAGTTATTCCTGGTAGGTATGAATGAAATTGCTACTTTCCTTAGGAAATAAGGAATTATTGGTATGGATGACATCGTTAGGTGGAAGAACTTCCAATGTCTTCTTTTGCCTACCCGTTGTGATGCAATCGCATAAAAAAACTCTTAAATCGCTTGTCATGTCAGTGATTTCCAGATCTTCCATGCGATATTATAAATACTTGACTAATCTTATCCTGACTATTATATGCCTGTTTAAACGAGGTTTTCTCTGGAATTATTCCAAGATGAAGAATTCTTCACATATAAATTAATAATTAAAGATATCGCTCCAAACTAAAAATAAATAAAATGAATCGGAGAGTTCAGGAATTCTATGATGCTTCATTTTCTTCAATCTCTTTGCCTATCATGTTCCTTTATTCAAATTTTCCTGTTCAAATGATCTTTCCATCTAAACGTTACTATATTTTGTCTTTTCTCTTACTCGCTTCCGTCGACAAATATCTCCAGTTTACTTTGAAGTACTTTCACAACTTTTCTTTTCAATCAAATTCTTTGGTTTCTTGAGAAGACCTCTTTGACTCGTGTTCTCACGCTTTCAAATGTGCTTGCTTAGAGCCTCTCTTCCCTGAGGGAGGGGGGTGGCGACCGGACGTTCATTCCTCCCTCCGAGGGCTGACCTCAATTGGTTTTCTTTCATTCAAGGAAAATCGGGCAAGTTGCCCAAGTCCGCCTTATGCTTGGGGGTCACCGGCGACTACAAATTGTTATTCCTCGTCACCAAGTCCTAATTGCGGCAACGTAACGAGCTTCGGCGTGTCCGCATCGGATAAGCAGCTGATCGTGAGTGTTCACAACAGCTGGAGGGCACGAGTTGCATCTGGCCAGGAAACGAAGGGAAAGCCTGGGCCTCAGCCCAAAGCCTCCAACATGCGACGAATGGTATAAGTTCATGCTCTTTACTCGGATAGGAGTTTTCGTCCTTTTCTCTCTTAGCATCAAACACTTTAAACATGTAAACATCTGCATAGAAGCCTTAACTTCATTAAGTAACTTAATGCCACTCATCATGACTTGCCAACTTCATAAATGTTGTTTACTGATATGAGACAACAACGCATGCTCTTTCAGACACCTCAAGGTCTAATAAATTGCACAGGTGGTTCCCCATCTTGAAATATCCACATCATGCTTTGCCTCTTAGTGAGAGGGTTATGAAGTCGTAAAACAAGACTTATTCACATGTGATGATGTCATTTAGGTGCTTTGACCTCCCTTCATCTAAATTCTTCAGCATGAAGCAGCAAAATTCAATGTGGTTTACTCCTTTGCCATTATTCAGATGAGGAGGAATGAAATGCAAAAAAAATAATCTAGATCTGTACATTTTGATGAATAATTTTAATCAGTGCTGCCGAGGTAGTTCCCACTTCCTGGTCCATCTGCTGATATGTGATATGATGGTCATCTCTCATTCATGACATCTCTGCCTCTACTTTCTCTTCCTAAGATGCTACCACTAATTTGAAGTACTGGTAGCGATAGGAAGAAAAAGTTGAAATAGGTATGTCACGAATGAGAGATGACCTACATATCACATCTCAGTAGATGGACCATGAAGCGGAACTGCTTCAGCAGCATTAATTAAAATTCTTCATCAAAATATACAGATCGAGGTGATTTTTTTACATTGCATTCCTCCTCATCTGAATAATGACAAAGGAGTAAACCATATTGAATTTTGTTACTTGATGCTGGAGAATTTGATTTAGGATTGTATTTGAAACCCACCATCCCCAACCGAAAAATATAGCAGCACTGAATGACTATGCTATGAGCATGAGCACAGTCTCCTAGCACCGCTTATATCTCAGCATGGTAGTCTTTGACATATAAACCTTGTGTGAGGTCGTAGAAGATTGTGATTTTGAGATTTTCTCTTCCCAGAACTGGAGCTGATGCTATCACTTTTCCAGCAGGCAACAAACCAACTTAATGGAATTCCTCTTCAATTTTTTCATATGGAGCTTAACTTTTTCCTACGTGGTTAATAACCTTCAGGAACATAGGAGAAATTACAGTATTAAAAATACAGTCATTTGAAAATTATTAATGTATCAATTGCAAAACGTATGGAACAACCTTCGTACAATATGCTTACATTGCAAGCACCCCCGCATTACAATGAATTGGTTACTGATATTTTCATTCAACGTCTGTGATGATCCAACCGATGAGGAAGTCTCCCCCAAAAACCTCAACTCGAAACCTTCAGATTTCCATTCAGAAACTTTCGTTTCTGACATCAGGTATGGGACAACAAGCTTGCGGCAACGGCGCAAGGCCTAGCCAACACGTGCAACTTTAATCACGACGACCCAAATTGCCGCACCTACGGCAGTATGTTTTCTTCTTGAAGCATTTCCGCTTCATTCTAACATTGCATTTGATATGTTTCTTTCATTATTATTCTTGCCAGCTTCGTTCCAGCCTGTTGGTCAAAACCTCTATATGAGTTGGGGGTGCAACGGGTTAAAGCCAAATTGGACTGCTGCTGTACAGGCCTGGTATAACGAGGTCGCCCTCTTTTCGAACTCCTCCGTATCACCTTTCAAGTACGTTCCTCTCGATATTATCCTCTCGACTTTACTTAGAATGTAAAGACCCAAGAACCCCACTAAATTAAATGGCTTCCATCATAATCTTGAGGCAGATGAAATGTAGTTATTGAGTCATCAAAGGTATGGATTAAATTCAAACCATTCGATTCCTTTTAGCACGCTTTTTCGTGTTGGTCTCTCAGTGCGACACGTGTTCTATCAAGGTTCTATTATTAGTTTCGCCTCGCCCAAGCATAATGGTAAGGGGAAGCTTGTGGAATTCCAGAAAGATCTTGTCAGCCCCTGCCTGAAAATCCTACCAACGCCAAATTTACTCGTACCTTCCTGCGTACTGTATATCAGCGTCGCCGATACACAGTATAGTAATCAGAAAATTACAGAAAAGGATATCTCCCTTTCGGCGCAATAATGTTGTCAACCTTGAGGAAAGGTTGAAATGTTGATACATGGTTTAAGTTAAGAATTCAGAGACGAATCAACATTAATGAAATGCTGGATATTTGTAATTATCCAAATTTTAGTTATAATTTGGGACTATGCACGTATTAGATTGCATTAGTCCTTTGTAAGCCATTATGATCAAATTCTTTTCTTTTATATGCCTTCCTCATAGTCGCAATGTTGTTTTCTCATGGAGGTATCCACATCGTGTCAACAAAAATAGGTTCTACTAATCGACGGGAGATGGCGTCTAACCGCCGATTTTGCGATTATGAAGATTGTGGCCTTAAAAATACAGTCTCCTGTATTTTTCAGACAGTACCCAATCTCATCACACGTTCAACTTAATGGAAAGCTTTTGGATTCCAAGAAAAGAAGATTGAAAGACGTTACATGGTAGAAGGAGACTCCAGGTACTTCTGGCCATGGGTCCGAGGAAACATGCTCAAGTTTCCTACCTAATTACCCTTGCATCTCATTCGAGAAAGGCTGAGCGAGTTAGCTGGCCTGTGAAGATGTGTCTGGCTCTTCTCGTGGATGGGGGATGAAACTGAGGCTCATGACAGACACGAAACTTCTTTCCTGGACGAAATGTGTAGTCCTTCAAGTACGTCAAGTGACAAGTTACGGATTTTAATCCAGCAAAGGAAGTTTATCCTCAGAAGGACCCCTCCGTGGGATTATAGTACTCTCTGGAGTACGTTCAATCTGTAATCATGACCAGTGTGCGTTCGCGCTCAGGTAAAAGTAGAGGTAATGGGGAAACGTGGAAATTCAATGCTGGCAGAACGTGACGAGTGTGACATGTGAGGGCTTCCATCGTTGAACTATTTTTCATTTCAACATTACGGTAAAATCGAATCCACCTTTTACACATCGTTGAGGCAACATTGCTACGCTGAAAAATGAATCCTCGCTAAACGTTGACCCGACGTTGTTTTGCCGAATGGGTTGTGTGCATTGTGTGGACCAGTGTGACACAATCGTGGGTTATAACTTCAAATATAACTTCAAAAATCTTGCAGGCTTACGATGGACACGGGACACTACACGCAGGTGGTGTGGGCAGACACGTATGCCGTGGGATATTGTGTGGACCAGTGTGACACAATCGTGGGTTATAACTTCAAATATAACTTCAAAAATCTTGCAGGTTTACGATGGACACGGGACACTACACACAGGTGGTGTGGGCAGACACGTATGCCGTGGGAAACGGCCAAGTTGCCTACAAAGGAGAGTACCAAATCTACGCGTGCAACTACGGCCCGGCTGGAAACTACATTGGGTTAACAATGTACGGTGTTGGGGCTCCGTGCTCTTGCTGCAAGTCCACCTGCTCCATTGGTGTCCTCTGTGACTGATTCTTTTATTGCTTCCTGGCAAGCATTCGTATGTCTTGTACGAGGATAGAAGAAATGCATTTGATCCATTGAAAATTGATTCCCACTTTCAATTGTTGCCAGCGTCCTTGTCTCTGGAATGAGACGCATCTCATTCCAGCCCCGATCTCCTCATAGAGTGACGAGTTCAGCTCCTCGTCTTTTCGTTCCCCGTATTGCATAATAGAACAGAACAAAAATATACAATACGTATTATTGCTGACGCCTGCCTGGATTTTATTGAGCCCCTCCACCCAGGCCCACGGTGTCCCTCTCGCGAAACAGAGACGATGCACTGCTAGGAATGTGTGACCCCAGAAGGTGGCACAGAGGCCTTAATCTACCTGCGAGTAGTGAGTAGTGAGGGATCTCCTGGCACCTCAGGTGAAGTACTTTCCCGGCACCGTAAACGGAGCCACCAACCGGGAAGCACCAAAAGAGGAGACTGGAAAGCTTGGCTTCCCGTAACCCGGAATAAATTCATACTGACTGTTGGTCAGTATGAATTTCGTCCATACCAAAAGCAAGTGCTCGAATCGATGAATCATTCGCTGCGATTGCTTGGAGGAAACCGAATGGACCTGATGGAGAGCAGAGGTCATTCCTACAACTCTTTTCCTTCCTACCGTCGAACTCCACAAGGACTTCCTGGATATAAAGGAATCTTAGTTGATAAACCCCATGTGAATTGCCTCCATGTTCATTAGTACATCGCTCGCGCCACTCGGTGGACGTTGTGCTCCTTTTGTTCCAAGACGTCGACCGGAATGATAAATTTAGCATCCTAGTTATCACATTTTTCCTCTTATCGAGAATTTACCCAGGGAGATAAATGCGAACACCTTCCGAAAATGTCTACCTACGCCCACGTTTATAGATTACCAAGAACACTTGAGAGTGCGAACTGTTCCGGACGCGTCTGCCTGAATTTCTGGAGCCTAGACTACACTACACGGTAAGCAAAGGGTAGTGAAAGCGTGTAAGACCTCTGCCGTATCGGTAAAGTAGAGTTTTTTCGCAGGAAACGGGGCAGGCCAGTTCTGTCATGACTGCATTGGTTCCCGTTTCCACGGGAACCAGTGCTCTCGTTCTCGCGGTCGCACATGTGGGATGGCAGCTCGTGGTACCGCTGCTAAAGAAAGCCTGGGACTGGCTCCTAGGCATTTTCACGGGGAGGAGGCTTCCTCAGTGCTCTCTCATCGTGGGGACGGCCGATGTTGGGGAACCGTACCATCGGGAGCGGGTCGTGAGACATTCCGTCAGGCCTTACACCGCCAGGTTCAGGAAAGACGAATTCCGGATCACCGGGATCGCCGTGACGCCTCTGGACGCGGAGACGTCTTGTCCCGAGGCAGACATCAAGGAATGGCGGAATCGGTCACGACAACGTGGAGATCCTCCTCACGCCGGTGAGCAACCCTTGGAGCTGCCACGTAAATATCTGCGGAGAGAGGATCGGTGATGCCCCTTCTGTTCCCATATCTAGTTTATCACGCACTGGTTCGTTCCCGATCGGGTGATAAATTATGGAGCCATTACTTCTATAATACAGGTTCATTTCCTTTGTACCATTGTGCATTTCCCATATTCATTTTTGGACCAATTCGACCCTTCCGAAGAATTCTCTAAAAGGGAAACTCTCCAAACATGAAGCATGACAGCACTGCAACATTCAAACAGCTCAATATAATCAGATATACCTAGTATATCTGTAGAAACATGGATGCGACTATCCAAGTATTCTACTCTCACATCGAAATATTCATTAAGACTCTGCAACGTTGAAAGAAACTTCTTATATTTGGCTCCAACCTGACGATTTTCGTTTATTCATTTGCATCAATGCGCGATGTCGGGAGCGCACAGTAACCTAGAACTACGAACGCACATCATTTACTGGAGCCCGAGTCCTTTGCTCGTCGCGAAAATATTTCCCGGCTTTTCCATGACAAAGGAATCGCTGAACGAATTTTTCCATTGTATTAATCACAGTTAGAATACTTCCCCTTCCAAAATTTCCAAAATATTCACTCCATCTACAAAAACGGATTCGGCGGGCTTTAACTTAATTCCTAGTCAGAACGGAAAATTCGAAAGGAAAGGCATCGCTCACGAAATGAAATCCCAGAAACGAATGATGCACTTCAATCCTCGCAGTGTCATCCACATCCGCCCGACCTTCACCGCTCGCGCGTTCTTGACGGAGCTTTCTGAGGTGACGTCGTTGGTGTCGTCTGCTAAATTTCAGGTGCATGCGTACTAAAGCCAACGGCCCAGACACCACGATTGCGATTTGTGTTGTTTCCTGGAAGACTCATACTGTATGATTGAGGCAAGTTCCGGAATTGTAGATGTAGAACTCTTCCGAGATCAGAGGGCTAGATAGGATATGATGAGATAAGATAAGGGAAAACACTCTGAAAACAGATACAGACGAAGGTTAGGTTATCGCATCTATTTTTTCTCGACCCATGTCATGGGTCATGGACCCTTCGTCCAAGTCTTGTATCAGCCCTGTCGAGCATTGAGCCTCAGCCGAAGCGGTACCTTCGTCCAAGTCCAGGCGCTCACATAACGGGCCACGCACGGCAGTCGTGTCGTCCGCCTTTCCCCAATGTCAGATCATGGCGTGACCTCGCATCGATGTGTTCCCGCACTGAACGCTTCAAATTCATCAAAATTCTGGTTCTACTGGGAACAATGGACCTTCCCCACCCCTTGACGAGCGAGAAGGGAAGATCATATTTAAATTATCCAATAGTGGAACATATGGCGTAAAACAGGAAGCCAGTGTAAAGACTGCGGGTGGGGGGCCAAATAGAATGTGGGAATTGATACTATGGCATTGAGGTGGATTGAGGGTAGATGCATTAGTAAAAGGTGGGCTTATTGGTGGCACAGTTGCTGGCCATTTGCGGCTAAGGGATGGTCAGAGAAGGTTGGCCCAAAGGTCAGCCGACTCAGACATGACCAACCATAGCCAACCATACCCCCCCCCCCTCCCATAATCCAACGATATATTGCTGATTTCCCGTAGACGGTGTATGGAAGACTCACCCTTGAGCCTTTAGTTGGCCCAACTATATGTTCTTGACGGGATCTTCTCTTTGTGATCACGGATCTTGCTCTTTCGTCGAAACGTGCGTTGACTCCCTCATGTGACTGGGAAGAAGCAGTCATTGCGTCTGTCAATCGGGTAGTCCATGTCATGTTTACGATTCTGTATATTTCATCGCCATCTGAATGCCGTTTTGAGAAGTAACGTCTCTCTATGTACTTCGAAGAAAACGGCACGGTCGAAAATTCCCAATTCCTACTTTACCAGTTCCATCCCTTCGTAAGTCCTGAACAATTCTTCGTAGTTGAACGTGTGTTGAACGTTGAACGTTGAAAGTGTGAACAATATGTGATGCGATGCGCCCGCGTAAGAGAAGCGGTGAGACTGCGTAGATCGGCATTGATCGATAAGCAAATTGATTATATAAATGCCGGGAGGAGAGCTGGATTAATTGTAGAGCAACATCAGGCCGTTCATGCTGCGCGGAGTGCAGCGTGTATACGCGTCAAACCTTTAACGATACTGGAGTTGTGTTCGCTTGGAGACATTACAACAGCGCAAACGCCGATGCTTCGTTTGGGTGCAACGATTGTTGACATTACCGATGATGGTCCTTACTGCTTCAAAACATCCAGCAAAATGTCCATTTTACTACGATACACCCACATCCATTTATTAATGTCGTTCCTGCGTTAAATCAGTCAACAAGAACAAATGCTCAACTCTACATTTACGATACAAATGGCTCAAATGCGGCAGCGCATGAAAATTCGGAACGGGAAATGGTGTACTGCTTTTTATCGATCGAGCAGGTGGCACTGGCAAGCAATTACTGTACACAAATTCACATACTGCTGTGAAGCGGACGATGTTTTGAGCGTTGCGTGCCGACTGGTACTTCTGCAATTTTGCTGCCTGGTGAGATGATGCGTCGCACAGCCTTCGACTTTCCATCGGATCTGCTCACGCATGAAGCGTCGTCCATCTCGCAAAAAACAGGTGACGATTCGAGCTACCGACCTCGTCGTTTGGGATGAAGCGCCGATGGCGCTCGCTGAAAGGCTGGCAGCGTCGGAACGGGCGTTGCGAGACTCCACAGCATCGACGTTGTGAGGATCGGTCACGGTGGTGATGACGTCGATCGGCAGGCCACCTTTCCGGATGAATCCTTCGACAATCTCAATACTATGGATCTCTCTTCCCGCTCTCCCGATCTTCCCGCTCACATGAAACCTAAAAATTTGAGCTGTACGGAGTCATGATTGGGAACGACCATTGCAAGGAGACGCCTATGATCGTGAGAGACCTGAACGCAAATGTCTTAACTCTTGGTTGATTCAAATGAAAAGGGGGTAATGGCTGTTAATCATAGTCTAAGGGTAGCTTAGGGTAGGGGACGAAAAGTCCCCGTTTCACTTGAACACCCATAGTAATCGAGGTGATGACGGCTGCGCCGAGTGGCTGCGTTCACATGCTGCCTAGAGTTTCACTGGACACGTCAACCCAAGTCAGCATACCGTTCCATCTTTGCCAACTTCAATTCCCTATCGAGCTTACCTGCTGTACGACTAAAACCATGACCAAAACATATGATCAAGTCGGATTATTACTTACGGAGCCAGGATCCATGCATGGCTTTTGTTCATTACTCCCGAGCTCGCTCTAAGTAATCGCTGAAGATTCAGGTTATCGATGGACCGAAGCAGGGCGAAACCGATGCTGGCACCGATACCGACGATGTGGTCTTTCAAAAGCATTTCTTTGTCCGTCACATCCGTTCATCCGGACAACTTTTTTATCATTACGATATCAACTTTTCGCTTCGTTCGCTCTTGTGTCCTGTTTCTTCATCTTGGTTTCTTCCATTCTTATATATTTTCCTCGTGTTTAATTATTTTTTGTAATAATTTGCGAATGTTGGCAGATGTAACGCGCTGTGCCTCAGCAACACCTTGGCGCAAATATATTCCATTTTGAACTGTAAATCAAATTTTG